CCAATACAACCGGAAGCAGCCCAGAACCAAAGTTACCAAAGCTGTACCTAAATAAGAAAGATGGTTACTATAATAAATATGCTGGCAGAGGATCAATTCATCAAACACAAAGAAGAATTATGGTAACATTACAGAACAGAAAGAGAATGACAACTCTCCAGAAACCAAACTTGAAGTCACATATTACAATCTAACTGACAGAGAATTCAAAATAGCTCTCATAAAGAAACTCAATGCATTGCAGGAAAACTCAGAAAGACAGTTCAATGGGCTCAGGAATAAAACTAATGAACAGAAGGAGTACTTCACCAAAAAGATTGAAACTCTAAAAAAAAAAAAACAGAAGTTCTGGAGATGAAGAACACAATTAATGAGATGAAAAATAATGTAGAAGGCATTAAAAATAGAGCAGACCATATGGAGGACAGAATTAGTGAGCCTGTATAGTAATCTAGAAATGATTCAGTTGGAAGTGGAGAGAGAACTAAGATTTTTTAAAAAATGAAGAAATTCTTTGAGAAATATCCAACTCAATTAGGAAAAGTAGCATAAGAGTTATGGGTATCCAGAAGGACAAGAGAGGGAGAAAGGAGCAGAGAGCTTAGTTAAAGAAATAATAGCTAAGAACTTCCCAAAACTGGAGAAGGAACTGGACATGCAAGTACATGAAGATAACAGAACTCCTAATTACATCAATGCAAAGAGACATTCTCCAAGGCATATAATATTAAAACTGTCAAAAGTCAATGACAAAGAAAAAATATTAAGGGCAGCAAGAAAGTAGAAAATAACCTGCAAAGGAACCCCCAACAGGCTTTCAATGGATTCCTCAGCAGAAATTCTACAAGCTAGGAGAGAGCGGAATGATATATTCAAAATACCAAAAGACAAAAACTATTAGCCAATAATATTCTATCCAGCAAAATTATCCTTCAGATATGATGGAGAAATAAAAGCTTCCCCAGACAAACAAAAGCTGAGGGAGTTCATTGCCACTTGACCTGACTTACAAGAAATGTTTCCTACCTGAAACAAAAAGGCAAATGTGTGAGCTTGGAGCAAGGAGATACAGGACAGAATCAGAAAATTGCAGCTCCATATCAGAATAAGTTAGTAAACACTTAATTATAGCATAAAGGATAAAGGGAAAGAAAGCATCAAAAATAACTATAATCACTTCAACTTGGTCACAAAATCACAACACAGAAAAGAATAAATTGTGGCAACAAAAACAGAAAAGGGAAAAGGATGGAACCTGCATAGGCTAATGGAGATAAAAGGCTATCAGAAAAAGGACTATCTCATCAATGAGATCTTTTACACAAACCTTAAGGAAATCACAAAACAAAAAATCAAAGCAGAGTCATGAAACATAAAAAAAAATGTGAAAACAGAAACACATCACAGAAAACCACCAAACTGAGATGGAAGACAGAAATACAAGGAAAAAGAAACCATGGAAATACAGAACAACCAGAAAACAAAAGATAAAATGGCAGTATTAATCCCTCACATATCAATAATCACTCTAAATGTAAATGGATTCAATTCACCAATCAAAAGACAAAGAGTGGCTGAATGGATTAAAAATCAAGACCCAACAATATGCTGCCTCCAGTAAACATATCTCAGCTCTAAAGACAAACATAGGCTCAGAGTGAAGGGATGGAAGATGATATTCCAAGCAAATGGCAAGCAAAATAAAGAAGCGTAGCCATACTTATATTAGACAAAGCAGACTTCAAAATAAAAAAGATAATGAGAGACAAAGAGGGGCAGTGTATGATGACAAAAGAGACATTCCACCAAGAAGACATAACATTTATTAATATATATGCACCTAACACAGGAGCACCAAAGTATATAAAGCAACTATTAACAGATCTAAAGGGATGAATTGACAGCAACACAATAATAGTAAGGGACCTTAACATTCCATTTACATCCAGACAGAAAGTCAACAAGGAAACAGTGGCCTTAAATGAACCACTAGACCAGATGGACTTAAGAGAGATATATAGAACATTCCATCCAAAAACAGCAGAATACACATTCTTCTCAAGCGCACATGGAACATTCTCAAAGTTTGGGACCATACATTGGGAAACAAAGCAAGTCTCAATAAATTTGAGAAGATTGAAATCATATCAAGCATCTTTTCTGACCACAATAGTTTGAAACTAGAAATCAACTACAAGAAAAAGCTAGACAAGTCACAAATATGTGGAGACTAAACAACATGCTACTGACCAACTATTGGATCAATAAAGAAATCAAAGGAGGAATACATAAATACCTGGAGACAAATGAAAATGAAAACACAACATTCCAAAACTAATGGGATGCAGCAAAAGCAATACTAAGAGGAAAGTTTATAGCAATACAGGCCTACCTCAAGAAACAAGAAAAATTTCAAATAAACAATCCTACACTATCCTAAAAGAACTAGATAAAGACGAACTAAGCAAAGCTCAAAATCAGTTGAAGGAAGAAGATAATCAGAGCAGAAATACACAAATTAGAGACTAGGAAAACAATAGAAAAGATCAATGAAACTAAGAGCTGCTTCTTTGAAAAAATAAAGAAAATTGATACCTTTAGCCAGACTCACTAAGAAAAAAAGGGAGAAGACTCATAAAAATCTTGAGTTAGAGTCCAGTGACTTCCTTGGATCCCATTATCAAGAGGGAGAGTTTTAATTCAATCTCCCTGTCTTTGCAAAACTAAAGGTCTCTTTTTATTCTTTAAGAGAAAATTAAAAAATGATTTAGCATGCTTTAATATTTGAAATAAAACGATTTAGCAGGTATTAGAATCTTTATGATGTGCTAATTCTACTACTTCAAGTATATTTATTTTTAAAAAATCAGTATGCTTACAACTTTTCCAACGTCCATGTATTGGAATACAGAGGTAGCTTACCTTGGTATTATCATTATTACTACCCCTAGTCTGCCTCTATATCTCTGTTCCTTCGAGGGTGAAGAGAGTGCTCAGTGACAGTTCACATATTTCCCAGTTCTGCTCTCCTTAAACATGGAAAGCCTAGGAAGTAGTCAGATTTTGGCTTGAAAGTTTGGATAGACACTCTGCTGGAAGCTGGAGGAAGTTATCAAGCCCACTGACATCCCAGCCCCATAACCTCAGGTGTTCCTGCCCTTGGACACCAAGATCCAAGACTCTGGTCTTAACCACCCTCAGCCACAAGCCTCCCGATCTCAGATTACTGCAACAGATCTTGTAGAGATCCTCAAGGACCTTTGTCACATTGGCTAGAATGATAAAAGTAATCTCAGAATTATAAAGTTGCATATGAAGTTTAATTCCAGATTTCCCAGAATCAAGAGGACAATAGTCCTACTCCGTTGAATAATCCCTCTCCCATACTTTGTGGCAAAACAGTCCACCCCCAAACCCACATTCTGGGATCATATCCTTGCCCTGCAGTATTTTTCTAGCAAGATCTGCTCTGCAATCCATCCTTGATCTCTGTGGTGTCCTGGCTACTGAGGCAGAAGGAGTGCTTCCTCAACACCTTGCCATTTAATTCACAAACAGGAAACTTGAAGGATCAATAGGAATATGAAGAGCTGCTCAAACTCACATGTGATCAGAGACATGCGAATCAAAACTACACTGAGCTATCGCTTCAGACACACAAGATCGGCAGACATTTGAAGGTTGCTAACAGAAAGTGCCAATCAGGATGGGAAGAAAACGGGACTCTTTCTACACGAGAGGACAGTAATGCTGAGTGAAATTAAGTACACGTATGCCCTGTCCCCCAGCACATTCCATTCCTGAGGTAGATCCATGTAAAGTTCTCAGGTCCATCTAGAGGCACACACGGGAAAGAATTCATCACAGCGGTGTTTGTAGTAACCAGGAGTTGGAGGCAACCTAAGTGTCCTTCACCAGTGGTAGTGACAGGTCTCAGGTTGGCTTCCTCTAAACCAGACCCTGAGACGAGGATTTGCATTCAAGCAGCATATTTGGGAGGTATTTTAAGGAAGCACCAGTATGGGAGTGGGAAAGTGAGACAAGGGCAGTTTGAGAGTCAGTAAAGGGTATGTTATTGGCAGGTTACCTCTGTGGAAAAAGGGAGCTTAGTCCCGCCAGAGAACACTGGGAGGCAGTGTTGTCCATGGCCTGAGTAATCTCACGGGAGAGGGGAGGACACGCCGTGTTTATCCTCCAACTCCCATCTTGCGGGGCTGAGAGGTATTCCCAGGGCATTAAGTTGCAGGTCCATCTAGCCTGCCCAAGCTCAGGTCAAGAGAAAGCCTTCCCAAGTTTGTGCAGCAGGATACCAGGGGCATGAACTAGAAACCTTAGTGCCAAAGGGAGAGCACAGGGCAACGATTGTGTCATGTCAACAGGTGTTAAAATATAGTGTAGAGGGAAATGCACAAGAAACAGCAAGAGTTACAGACCAACGTCATTAACGTAAACTAACAACACAAACAGGAACAAAACCACATTACATATGTCACACTCATATGATATACATGGACACATTACAGACACATGACGCAGTGCCTTTGGGTGGAGTGGTAAATGGGACTGAAGATGGGGGTGTGAAAGGAAGAAAAATGTAAACTCAGGGGTCTCAGAAATTGATGAAGAAAGCGTGTCATAGCCCAGGGAGAGTGATTTAAAACATCCCTCTTCTTCTGCCCCCTCTAGGTTAATGAATCTGCTTTTCCTGGACCCCCTCAAAACCCTCACCTCCCACATTCTGCACTGGACATCTGGATTCAGGCTCCCTAAGAGCAGGAACTGTGTCCAACACAAGGTCTTAGCCCCCCCAGAACCTCTGGCCAGGGCTCATGGGATAATACAGCTCTCCACCCTTCTTCAATGAAGGAATAGATTTTGATTAGAGGTACACAAGGACAACCTAAGGCCCCACGACTACATTTCCCAGAGATCCCCGGGTGATTCTGACTAGACTCCAGGGGTGGAGCAGTGTGCAAAGCCAGTGAGGACACTTCCTGTGCTGCCCTGGAGGTGGGAGGAGTGCAGTCAGCCTGGTTCCTGGTTGTGGCCCCAGTGGAGCTCGGTGAGTGACTTGTTTATGCTTTGAAATCGGGGGCTAAATCCTATCTCAAATGCGGGTCCAGGAGGCTAGATACCCCACCACGCCTGAGTTTCAAGTCCTAAGGTGGTTCAGAAAGTTGGGCTGACACACACTTTGAATGCCCTACTCTACAGCAGAACGCTGAAGAAACAGACCTGTGATTCAAACTGTCTGGGTTCAAGTCACAGCCACACCACCTCCCGGCTGTGAGACCTGGGCAGGTCACCTAGCGTCTCTCACAGTCAGTTTATCTGTCAGTACATGGAGCTGTAAGGGAGCTCACTGGAAATGTTGTTACAAGGATTGAAGAGGTATAAAAGTAGATGATGAGTACATCAGGGATGTGTTTCAGGGAACGGGATTTCCCTCTTGGATAATTGAAACGATGATGTCCGCCTCCTCTGTCCCCACCTGGATGTGTCCCATAGGGCCCAGTTCGTCCTGCAGGCAACAAGTTCATAACAGTCCCTGCTCCTCCTGCATTAGGTGATGGAAAATTCTCTCAGGATCTCAAATGTTCGGGGGACTGGGTTACATCGTCTGCAACATTTAAGGGAATTCCTGGGGAAATCTCATCGTGTTAGAAGGAGGCTTAGCAAGGAGAGTCTCCAGGAGCCACAAATGACAAGAATCAACTCCTTCACCGTCAGGCTCACTGAGGACCCCGTGCCCTGAGCACAGATGTGCAGAATTCCATAGGAGAGAGGAGCCTGCTGAGGCAGCCAGCCCCAGGAGCAGGGCCCTGTGGGCTCTCACTCTGGACATTGCTCCCGTGCCCTGGCATGACACCCACAACAAGGGCACGCCCTGTTGTGTCTTTTTTAATAAACTGCTCTTTGCCTCCCCCAGGGTCCCCATTTTAGTTTCTCAGTCACAGAAACGGCTGACCCCGCCCTCTCCCCTCACAGGGAAGTGGTTAACTGTCAGCTATTTAGCTGCTCCCCGCCCAGAGACTTATTTTGTTTGCCCTTCCTGGGTTTAAAAAGTCCAAAGGCAGCTTTAAAAATGGGAAGATTTCACCCACAAGTCTGAGTTTCTCCTTCTCCTGAGGAGGGGAAAAAATAAACAAAAGAAACCCCACACTCAGAACTTCCTGCTGCCTGGGGCTCCTCCACTATCTTGGCTGTGACAGCTGTTTTCCACGGATGGGTCTTTCGGGGTCTGCTCCACAGGCCCTCAGTGCACCAAGCACTGTTGAAAGAGGGTGTGGGGGCATGGCTTGCTGGGCAACTTCTCCTTTTCCACCTGGAAAGTCACTGTGCTGGCCCTTGCCCCTGGGAGTGGGCTGGGTTGTAGTGTCCTTGCAGTTTCCCCAGAGCCAAGAGGAAAAGGGAAGGAAGGGGAGGGAAGGGAGGGGGAGGGAGAGGGGAGAAGGGGAGGAGGGAAGAGAAGGGGAAAGGAAAAGGGAGGAAAAGAAAATAAAAGCACACAGAAAGAAAAACCACTCAGAAGTTCTCCTTAATATTCTTCTATCCAACTTGGTAATTCTATTCCGAGGTATGTGCCCAAGAGATTTGAAAACAGATACTGAAGAAAGTACTTGAACACAAATGTTCAGAGCAGCACTATTCACAATAGCCAAAGGTGGAAACAACCCAAATGCCCATCGAGAAATGAGATCCACAAAAAACGTGTGTCCATACCCTGGAGTATTATTCAGTCACACAAAGAATGAAGTATTGATACAGGTTACAATACAGATGCACCTTGAAAACATTGCGCTAAATGAGAGGAGCTAGCCACAAGAGGCCACATATTATATGACTGCATTTATATGAAATATCCAGAACAGTTAAATCTATAGAGACAGAAAGTAGAGTGGTGTTTACCAGGGGCTGGAGGAAATGGGGAGTAACTGCTTAGCGGGTATGGGGCTTTATTTTGGGGTCATGAGATACTTTGGAACTAGATAGAAGTGGTGGTTGCACAAAATGGTGAATGTACTAAATGACAATGAATTGTTCACTTTAAGATGGTTAATTTATGTTATGTGAATTTCACATCAATTTTTTAAAAAGTTTATTCAAGAATACGAGGAATCCTCACAGTAGAGGTTGAAGATTCCACCTCAGTGCAAAGTGTATTTGTGCTGCTTGTAGCCCTGAGTGTGAGGGCAGCATTTTCTTCCCACCCCAGGGCCCTCAATCTAGTTCCTCAAGCACAAAATAGTGGATTCCACTCCTTCCCTCAGAAGAAAGTTTCTAACTGTGTCAACCTTCAAAAATAGAAACCAGGTTAAGAGGCAAAGTGTTTACTCAGGATTAAATAATTGCAACTTGTGGAGCACAGATTCAGGTAGAAGCCTAAATAGTGTCCCAGTTACAAAGTGAAAGAAGAGAGTTTTTATGGGGAAAGGAAAGGAGTAATTACATAAAAAGAAGAGAGAAAAGAAAAAAAATCTTCTATAGGTGTTAACCAGCTAGGTTATTCTTCAGCTGTACATGGCTATATTACCAATTCTGTCTTCAGAAAGAGAGTCCATAGTCATCAGTCTTTGTAGTCAGGATGTCTGCTTTCCTGTTAGCTTCACATACAATTGTTTAGAAGGCAATGCTGGTCCAAAGGTCTTGCCCAGTTCAAACAGTCCAAAGGTTCAAGAAGTAGGACATGCAGGCAGTTCCTCTGAAACGGTTGCTCCAGCTGTTTTAAAATGGCTCCACCTATTTCAACTTTTGACAACTGTCCCAGAGACTTATTTTGCTTGGTCTTTCCTTCTTCACCTGAGCAGCTGTTTCTCTCCAGACTGGCTTTCCGAGCCTGTTCTGTGGATCCCACTGTACCCATCTGACCTCTGCAGGCATTGACTCAGAGCTGTGGCTGAGATGCAGATCTTCTGTACACTCAGGCCCGTTGAACAGTGGCCTTTGAACAGGATCAGCCTAGCAAATCCTTTTCCATGCAGGAAGTCAAATGCTGGCAACTTGCCCCTAGGAAGGAGGCTGGGTTGTAGTGTCAATCCAATGGAATGCCATGGCCTTCACTGGGACAGAGAAAGAACAGAAAAGGAAAAGGGTAGGAAAAGGAAAAAAATACACACAGAGAAAGAAAAGCCACTCACTAGCACTCCTTAAAATTCTCCTGTCCGGTAATGCCAGAAATCCAGCCAGTAGGTCTAGTAGATTCCATCTCATAATTGTACTTGGGCTGCTTATAGTCTTGAGGTGTCATGGCAGCATCTCAGGGGTGGACTAACTCTGGACCAACATGTTTTTAATTCTGCCATTTTAGGCTCTTGCTTACAACTTCATTTGGGGAAAGAATAAGGGTTTCTTTAGCCAAAAAAAAAAAATTTGAAAACCACTGCTGGACATGAAAGATGTAGAGATCCTAGAGACTGGGAACTGGACAATGAGTTTTCCATATCAACCTGGTCTCCAGGAGTATATCCAAAAACGTCATTTGTAATTGAAGTACCATGTCCTTTAGGGATAAATCACAGCAGTTGGTTCAGCTATTGAATATTGACCATTCAATAGCTGAACAATGAGCATTCATTTGATCTATAGAAAAAAGCAAGTCTCCTTTGCCTAACATTCAAGGCTCTCTGGAAGTTACCTCATCCTGTGTATCTTACCTTTCTTTCACACAGGTCTTCAAAATGACCACCAGTGTGACTTAAGTCAGGTTCCCCAGAATCAGATACTGAGACAAGGATCCGTGTGCAAGTGATTTATTAAGGAAGTGCTCCTGGGAGAAACCCAGTTTCAGTCTGGATGTGAACTATAACTCAAAGTTTGTCCAGACTTAAGGCAAGGCAACTGGGCTTTCAAAACCTCCCACCAGTAAGTATTGACTCAGGGCTGCCCGGGCAGGACATGAATTCCCCGGCACTTCCATCTCTCTGCATAGAAAGGTGAAGTAGCTCCAGAAGCTCTCAACAAGTCCCCCAAAGAGAGTCTAGGGTGCAGGTCCTTAAGCATAAGAACACAGAAGCCAGGCCAGGGGCACAGCAAAATGGTAAAGGAGATCTGAAGGAATCTGGGTGGCTTACAGACAGCATTCTCTCCACACTAGCCTCCGTCCGGAGTCCTCAGCAATCCCATGTGCCCTCTCTGGGTACACTAAGCATGCTCTGTTCTTTACCCTTCTGTTCCTATGGTGGAGGCCAATAGGTTTAACGGGTTTCATTTGAGTCACATTTTTTTAAATGTTTTTTAATTACTTTAGCCATAATTCTCATAATGTTTCCACTCTTTGTTCTATAATAAAAGGAGTCACTGCTGCCTAGTAGTCCTTTATTGTGGCCTATCTCTTCCTTATTTTTTCATTTTGATTTACATTTTCACTGGCCAGTGGAGAGGAAACACTTTTTCAGGGTAGCTCATCATTGTTGCATTCCTCAAGTTCTTTCATGTTTGAGATTGTCTTTATATTCATGTTGGCTTTATGATTAAATGAAACATTAACAGAATAATATTTGAGGTCATACTTTCCTTCAACACTTTGTAAGCATAGTTCCATTACTTCATCTTTCGATATTTCTGTGGAGTATTCTGATGCCATTCCAATATTTTCTCTCTTATAAAGCGTTTGCTTTCTCTGCCTGATGCCTGAGTAGTTTTTTCTAATTTTGAGTATTCAATAATTTAGCCATAATATATTTCAGTGTTGAATCAAACTTTCCCAGAATCTTGTCTCCCTTGTTTTATAGATTTAATTTTTGCTTCGTTTCAAGAAAACGTTTCTTTGTAAAATGTAAGCTTTTTGAGTTCTCATTCAAAAGCACCAATTGTCTTCTGTTGGATTGTCTTTGATTGCTTTCTATGTCTATTAGCTTCTCTCTAACTGTTTAATGGCTTTATCTTTTCATTAACCATTACTATAAGTATTAAATTTTTCTTCTACATAAGTAATTTGATATTATGCTGTATCTATATTGTCTCTTTCTACTTATAATTAACTGTGTATTAGCTTTGTTTTTGTTCTTAATTAGCTTCCTAAGGTCTGAAGTCTTTCTTTTCATAATACTGCATTATTTTATCACTTCATTTTTTGAGTCTTTGTTATGAGTCCGTTTTAAATGTTCTATCCCTCCAAGTGAAGAAAGTCTGTGAAGAATCTATTTCTAGTGTTCAGTTTATTTTTCTTCTTGAGTTGGGTATCTTTTTTTAGCCTATCTTTTGCATATTATGTCCTTTTCTTCTAATCCCAATCTCATAGTATATTTGCATTCTGTTTTCCATCATATTCGTGCACGTATAGTTCTGTCTCCACCTTGTATTTGTTTCTTGAATTTAATGTGACTGGTGAGGCATCTGGCTGGAGTGGGGCTTGGACTCTGCAATCTTTTCATTGGAGACAAGGGAAGATAATAACAGAAGACAGTTTGATGGCTGATCTTCTATATATGGGTGCTTCTTCTTCCTTTCTGGTGACACCATACATTAAGAACATTGCCTTATTTTTCTGCCCAATATCACCAATTATACTTTACATCTAAAGAAAGACCAGGTGCTACCATTACATACTGGTCTGTGCTGTGTTTGGTAAATGTTCTAGTAGCAATCATGGGCATGGAACATATTTCACCACCCCCTTGCTGATCCCATGGTAACTAATCATCTGGTTGGTTGCTTCTGAGCCCTCTCCTCTGGGTTTCCACAATCTCCAGACTTAGAGCCCCATCAGTATTGCTCCCATCTCCTGTGGGTATACTTTCTACACTCTCCCTATGCAACTCAGATGTTCCCTTTCCTCTTCAATCTTTCCCTTCTGTTTTGCGGTTTTAAGGGATTTTTCATAATTTATGGTCCACCAAACTACCTTTTTGTTTTCAAGGGAGGTCACATTATATGTTTCACTATCTTTTCTGTTATTTCTAGAGTTTGGGCCAGGAAAAAGAAATTTCTAAGTTTTCTGAATTAAAACTGAAAATCAACCTACTTCCAATTTACCTAAAAAGATATTAAGTGCCTTTCAGAGTTCTCTGAGTGTGTTCACTCTATCTCCCTGGAGTCTTCTCTTATGTTTATCATCAACCTGAAAGGAAAGGGAACATCACTGCACAGAGATGCTACAAATCAATATATAAAGCTAGTAGAGTTTTCAGTCAGCTATTTTCCTGGCAACTACTTTCAAAAGACTTCCAGAATTTCACCTTAAATCACAACGTTAATAATACACAATTTCTTAAGTTTAGTCACAGAATACTCAAGTATTGTTTGGTTACAAAGTATTGTTTGGATGTTGCTTGCATCCAGGCCACTAATAAAAACTGGCTTTTTTTGAATGGACCTGCAATTACTAAATTTGAAGTCAACATTATATCTTAAAAAAAAAGGAAAGAAGAGAGAGAGGAAAACAAACACTTGAAAGCCAATTACAACATTTAGAAAGAAATATAAACTAATTTCCTAGTAGAAGGAACAATGGTCTAACCACGAATCAAATAGCCAGCCTATAAACCACCTGATTCCTTACAGATCAGCCTTCACCTCTCTTCCCTACACACTCATTACAGATTCCGGGTTAGCGGCCAGACAGGATGTGGAGTGGTCTGGCTAAATACCATTTGTTCTTTCTGTGCCTAGGTGGTAGAGTATTAGAGCTGGTCTAAATGTTGAGAAAGATGCTGGTGAGATGAGAAGAAATGCAATCAATCTAATAAATTTAAGGGAAACAATATTACAGATATCAAGAACAGAAATTTAGAAACACTGGCAATATGGGAATGACAGCTGGGTCAAAAAGGAGAAATAGAAGACTCTAAAAGAAATGCTAGAAGGAGAGAAAAAAGAGAGGTTTAGCTTATCACCATTAAATTTAGGGGCAGGGCCCTTTACCATGCCGTCTCAGGGTGTGCCACATTACAAAGGGATTAGTCTGCTTAGCACTGTTGCAAAATCTCAATAGATTAAGACTTTTTGGTAACAGGTGACAAAAACCTTTTTTAAAAGGTCAAGCATGTCTAAACCATATTCCTTTTGTCCCACATCACCTGTCCTCCTTACTTACTCAGCACTGCCTCTGGATGTAGAGGCAGGAGAGGGTTTGGGATGGTGTGGCTAAATTACAGTAATTACAGTTGTTCTCTCTTCGTCTGAGTGATGGAGTTTTAGAGCTCATGTAGATGTTGAGAAAGGATACTCATGCAAGTTAAGATGAGAAGAAATGAAATGAACTTAATAGATTTGGGGGGATAATGTTGCCGATATCAAGAATAGAGAAAGTTGAAACACTAGCAAAATGGGAAGAATAGCTAATCAGAATAGAGAAATAGGAGAATCCAAAAGAAGTGACATTAAGAAGGACAACAGGAGCCCTTAATCACCATTAACCAGAAGCAGGGCCTCTGTACCATGCACTTCAGGCCACGTCGTTACCGATGGTCATGTACCCCTGCTACAGTCAGTGTCCACACTGGACTAGGTCTCTTTAGTAGCAGGGCATGGAAATCTTTTCTACATGGCATTTAATAAAACAATAACTTATTTTTTGTTTTTTTTTTCCTGGCTTACTTTACCAGAAAGTCAAGAGATAACTTACCACTTGATTTAGGCCTTTTCTCATCTTTCTTTCTCCTGCTTTTCATTCCTTACCTTGATAACTTCTTTGTTGATATTATCCTTCAGTCAATTCTCCCAGTAGCTTTGAGCAAATATCCTACCAGCTTCTAACTCTGCAGCAGAAAGTATCTGCTTAGGTTTCAGCAAAAGTCCCTCAATAGAGTCTCATTGACCTGACTCGGGTCACTTGCCAGCCATGAGCAAAGCACTGGTCCTAGAGCATATGTGCTTTGAGTTGGTCCTACCTGGGTCACACGTCTATTCATTCAGCTCAGTGTGTACAGCTTGTTTGCCATAAAATAAAATAGTCAAAACTATCAGTTTGATTATGGTACATTTTGCCTCAACTGCAACCTGCCCTTCTCACAATGATTTCTCATCTCAGAGTAATAGCCAAAAGGCCAGCATTGTCTCTAAGGCCTCTGTTACCTGTCTGATCTCATCTCAATCCACACTGCCTCTCACTCCCTCTGCTCCAGTCACCCTGGCATCCTAGATGTTCCCTGAACACTCTAGGCAAGTTGTACTTGAAGGCTTTTGTATCTTCTGTCCCTTCTGCCTGAATGGTCTTCCCCACACATGTGGACCTGGCTTGTTCTCTTACATCCTTAAGGTCAAAGTGAGGCTTTCTTTGACCACTTTATTTAAAATTGAAGCACTCTGTGCATGTCCTCTCTGCTTTTTTTGCTTTAGTATTCCCCAGAGCACTTATCACAATCTAAGAAATTGCATCTTTTATTTATTTATTCAGTCCACTATCTGTGTCATCTCAATCCTGGATAAAATGTAAAATTTCCAAGGGCAAGCAAGCCCTAGATCAATAGTAAATATAAAGTAGGTTTTCAGTAAATTATTTGTTGAATGAATCAATAAATAATGCATGAATGAATGAAAATTTGAATGGAGAACTTTAACTGGGTAAGGTTCAGCTAAAAGGGAAATTGAGTGGGTCTGGTACCTTGAATACAACATACTTTATTACATAATTGTCCTGTTTATATTGGGAACTGTTTGTAAACCCTATTTTAGTTGATACAATTTGAACCTTTTTTCATTTGTCTCTAAAAAAGCCACATGTAAGCTGTTTATCATTTTGCTCATCACTTAATCTAGACTTCCAACTTCTCATGCTTGAAACAGGGAAGTGGTAATATTTTTTTACAGGGTTACTGAAACTATTAAGTGAGCTTATATATGCGAAACAATTAATACAATAAAAGCACTAAACAAAAGACTTCTAATTACAGGTATTTATAACTATCATTTGTATTTACTTATTTAAAATACATTAGTTATAATTAGGCTAATCAAAGAAATCCAAGTACAAAAGTAATGCTATTTGTATTTGTTTTATTTCTTTGCCTTAGGGGATCATGGACATTGAAGCATATTTTAAAAGAATTGGTTACAAGAACTCTAGAATCAAATTGGACTTGGAAACATTAACTGACATTCTTCAGCACCAGATCCGAGCCATTCCCTTTGAGAACCTTAACATCCATTGTGGGGAACCCATGGAATTGGGCTTGGAGGGCATTTTTAATCAAATTGTGGAGAGAAACCGGGGTGGGTGGTGTCTCCAGGTCAATCATCTTCTCTACTGGGCTCTCACCACAATTGGTTTTGAGACCACCATATTAGGAGGGTATGTTTACAACCCTACAGCCAACAAATATAGCAATCGCATGATTCACCTCCTGCTGAAGGTGACCATTGATGGCAGGAACTACATCACTGATGCTGGGTTTGGTCGCTCTTACCAGATGTGGCAGCCTATGGAGTTAATTTCTGGGAAGGATCAGCCTCAAGTGCCTTGCATCTTTCGCTTGACAGAAGAGAATGGAATCTGGTACCTGGACCAAATCAGAAGAGAACAGTACATTCCAAACCAAGAATTTCTTAATTCTGATCTGCTGGAAAAGAATAAATACCGAAAAATCTACAACTTTACTCTTGAACCTCGAACAATTGAAGATTTTGAGTCTGTGAATACATATCTTCAGGTATCTCCAGCATCTGTGTTCACAAGCAAGTCATTCTGTTCGTTGCAGACCCCAGAAGGGGTTCACTGTTTAGTGGGCTTCACTCTTACCTATAGGAAATTCAATTTTAAGGATAACATGGATTTGGTGGAGTTTAAGACACTGAATGAGGAAGAAGTAGAAGAAGAGCTGAAAAATACATTTAATATTTCCTTGGAGAGAAAGCTTATGCCCAAACATGGTGATCAGTTTTTTACCATTTAGAGTAAGGAGTAAAAGTGGCCTTCAGTTTTACTTCAGGTAGTGACACTTTTTGTTATAAAAAATTTTAAACATATGTAAAAGTAGAGTGAATAAAACAATAAATTTACCAACTATCAACTGGCAGCCTATCATATTTCCTCAATGCTCCTACATTATATTTGAAGAAAATTCTAGACATAAAATCATTTCACCCTTAATAATGTGAGTATACATAATTAGACAATATTTTAAAGAAACAACCTCACACTTTTTTAAAATTAATAATAGTAAAGATGTTTTAAGGATGGCCCATGATTTTCTTGGGGGAAAATAGTGATTTATGCTAGAAAACCTTCCACATCGGTTGAGTGTTGAATTCATAGAAAATGTTTACCATGGTTCAGTAAATAGAATATTGATGAAATTGTTTTTATTAAATTCAACCAGCATATATCCAATGTCCAATTTTTACAAAAATACCACAGGTGTACCTTAGAATTTAATGAAGATATGATACTGCTTCCAAATAACCTAATAGCTCTTAAGACAAAGCTTGAACCAATACCTAGTAACATGTGATTAAGTACCAAGAGAGTGACACAGCTTAATTTCTTAGGTGGTACGTTTTGCAACCACAGTTCTTCATGTACCATTTGATTAAATATGTGAACACTAATATTTAGAATTTTCAAATTCCAACATTAAGTCATTTATGTCTAAAAGTAATAATTATTGTGAATTTTAAAATACTTATCTGTAAAAACTTGATGTCTAAAAAGTATGTTAAAACATTGTTGGCTACTACAATGTGAGTCACAAAGTTCCTGTTCAGCAGAGTTAGGATATTATGGGGCTAGGCTATTTTTCTGCAACCGTGTGTTCCTCACATCCTCTTTCTTGTCTCCCAATTATGTTCTTTTCTTTCCTTCCACACTTTGTCATAAGAGAAAGGGTATGAGCTTCAAAGCATACAGATCTGAGTTCAAACCCTGTGGACACTAGGTGAATTACTTGATGAATCTGTAGCTCCAATTCCTCACATGTAAAATGGGGATAATACTTATATAATTAAGTGCCAGACCTAGAGTAAACTCTCAATGAATATTTGTTACATGGATGACTGAATAATGTCAATAATGTTTTTGATACTGAGTCAGCATTTGATGAGAATTCTCCCATCTTGCTTTATTTCCCTCCCAAAGTGTAGCTTCCTCCATCTTGCTTTATTTCCCCCTAGCTTGAAATCCTGATCCTGAAACTGCTCAATTTGCCTGTTTCTTCCTTTCTTAAATATTAATAGGATATCAGATGGCCCAAATTTGATTGTGGCTTTGTGCTTCAGAATTAGAACATTTACTTATCTATAACTCAGATTTCTGTTTGTGAATTCCAGAATCAGGGCTATAATTTAAACGGAAGACTTGTTTTTACATTATTCTCTCTCTTCAACTTGTGATTATCATAATAAGGATAAGAGAAGAGCAGGGACTGGAATGGAGAAGTGTTAGTTAAAAGAACAAGTTACTTTGGATCATGCATACTCAGGTACTGATGTAACAGTTGGGAGATACCGCTCAGGGTGGAGACCTGGGCAGTCTGAGCAGGAAGGAAGGATGAAAGATGTATTTCAGTATTTGACAGCTTGCCATCTTCCTTACCTTACTGATAGGCCTTGTTCAGCTCTGCTGCTATCTTGCAGCAATGTCAGGTCACTTCTGGTACTCTTGGGCAGAAAGGATTTTCTCACATTCTGACTAAGACTATGCCAATGGAGAAGATGTTGGCAAGAGATACCAACCAGATCAAAAAGTGGCTTAGGGAGAAAGAAGCAGTTTTGTACAAATGAGTCAAGGAAGTCGTATTGTACAATGAGTATCCTGAAACCCTATGCAATTTTTTTTTTTTTTTTTTTTTTTTTTAAAGTTGAGTTAGTCTTTTTTTTTTTTTTTTAAAGATTTTATTTATTTATTTTTCCCCCCAAAGCCCCAGTAGATAGTTGTGTGTCATAGCTGCACATCCTTCTAGTTGCTGTATGTGGGACGCGGCCTCAGCATGGCCGGAGAAGCAGCGCGTCGGTGCGAGCCCGGGATCCGAACCCGGGTCGCCAGCAGTGGAGTGCGCTCACTTAACCACCAAGCCACGGGGCCGGCCCTGCAATTGTTTTTCCTTGAATACATCTATCACATGGGGAAAAAAGGCCAAAATATGTTGAGTGAGACTCAGAGATAAAAACTTTAGCTGCCAGATTGAAGAGTTTTGTCTCACTGTGCAATATTAACTTTTCTCCAATGAAATCTAAATGAGTGGTCTCTCTGGATTAGTGATTATTGATCCAGTTACTTCTGCCACTTAACAAATTGCCCTGAAACCTAGAAGTTTAAAACAACCACTTTAAGATGCTCACAGATTCTGTGGGTCTGAAACTTAGGAGGGGCACAGCTGCTCTCCAATGTTCAGCCTCAGCTGAGAGGACTCCAGTGGCTGGCGGTTATTTGTTGCCTGTGTGCTACAACTATCTAGAAGCATCTTCACCGACATGCATGGTGCTGGGCTGGGGCTACAATGGGAGCACCTACATGTGGCCTCTCCATGTGGTCTGGGCTTCCCCACAGCATGGCAGCCTTAGGGCAGTCATATTTCTTACACAGTGACTCAGAATTCTATGTGTGAGGGTTCCAGCTTACAAGGTGGAAGCTGAATCACCTTTTTAAAAAACTTATTATTTTTAGTTGAAGTGAAATTTACATAAAATTAATTATTTTCAAGTGAACAACCCATTGATATTTAGTACATTCACAATGTTGTGCAACTACCACCTCTATCTAATTTCAAAACATTTTCATCACCCTAAAATAAAACCCCATACCCATTGAACAATTTGAATTACCTGTCATGACCTAGCATCAAAGTCACATATCATTTCTGCCACATTCTGTTGGTTATAAGTAAGTCACAAGTCCTTCTAGATTCAAGGGGCAAGAACTAGACTTCACTTCTTGCTGTGAAAATGGAAAGTTTCTCAATCATCTGGGATGGAAGATATTCTTATGGCCATCTTTGTAATCTGACACAGTCAACCCTCTGTTCCTAAAAATTTACATTTCTTATATGTGCAAAATACACTCTATTCATTCCAAAATCCCCCAAAAGTCTCCTCCCATTATGGCCCCAGGTGCAGGCTTGGAGTCCAGGATCTTGTTGTCCAGTCCAGATGCAGACGTGGCTCCTCAAGTGCAGTTTTGCGGGTACAACTCTTTGAGCACCATTCTTCTTGATCTGAATAATTGTGAGCTGTTGGGACAAATTACCTTACCCCCGTATACCCAACACACAATAGTGAAACAAGCATAAAGTAACCACTGTGGACACTTCTACTCAAACAGGGGTAAACAAGGAGCACACCGCAGTCCCCAGTCCATCACAGTTCTGAAATCCAGCTGGGCCCACGTGGCCAGTTCCTTGATTAGGACTGAGTCCTATTTCCTGGGACTTGTTGCCAGTGTTCTTGCCTTTATTCTCTGGGCTCTTAGATTAACCACATGCCTCTGCCATAATTTTCATCTACAGACCTCCCAAGAAACACCGAGACACCCTAAACTCAAATGCAGTTTGATGACTATAAGGATGAGTATGAGTATATGCAACTAGTTAATAAATACAAACATTCATAACTATGATGGGGCAATGTTTTTTAGAAAGCAGTATCCTGAGTTTGGGTACCCTGAAAACGGAGCTATCTTCAACTTGTGGCCATAACAATGAGGTCAAGTGAGAAGGAGGGACTGGATTGGAAGAATGTTAGGTAAGACAATCAGATTACTTGGGGGCATGGAGATTAAATGCAGCAATTTAAGACTCAGAGACTTGTGTGTAGGTGGTTTATTTGGGAAGTGATACCATGTAGGAGAGGGGATAGGGAAAGTGAGGAAAAGGAGGAAAAGTCAATAAGAGGGTTCATTAAGTTTGCTGCTGCGGGCAACAGGAGCTCAACACCCCTAGGACTTACAAAGGAGCATATATGAATGCCTCCCAGAATTTTCCACCAAAGAGCAAGAGGCAGGAGCATTTATCCACTAGTTCCCAACTCCCATAGATTGAGAGTTCCCCCTGAGGTGTTATGTCCCCTGCATTTCCAAGCTCCACGTATGTGTGAGCTCCTATGGGCATCCATTGGAGAAGACCTGTGGCAGGAAGCAAAAACACCCAGTACACATGTGAGACACTGTCAGCATTAAGTCACTGGAAGCCCATGTGTCTGGACTAGTGAGTCAGCCAAAGCAGTTGGTGATGTGGCGTGGAGAGATGAGGACAGGCTGGGGATGGAGGCAAGGGCCCCTCCAAATCACTCTGGGTTGTCAGAGCAGCCAAGCTGGGATTAGGATTCAGGCTTGAGACAAAAGTTTAACCTTTTTTCATTTCATGATTTGTAAACACTAGACACAAGTGCAAATAAGAAAGAAACAAACAGGGGCCGGCCCGGTGGCTTAGAGGTTAAGTGTGCGCGCTCTGCTGCTGGTGGCCCGGGTTCGGATCCCGGGCGCGCACCGATGCACCGCTTCTCCGGCCAAGCTGAGGCCACGTCCCACATACAGCAACTAGAAGGATGTGCAACTATGACATACAACTATCTACTGGGGCTTTGGGGGGCTTTGGGGAAGGAAAAAAAAAAAGGAGGAGGATTAGCAATAGATGTTAGCTCAGAGCAGGTCTTCCTCAGCAAAAGGGAGAAGGATTAGCATGGATGTTAGCTCAGGGCTGATCTCCCTCACACAAAAAAAAACAAAAGCAAACGTGAAAAACATACCATGGGGACACTTTCAAAAAAAAAGAAAAAAAAAACAAGAAAGAAACAAACACACAAAGAACCTATGGAGCAGAAGAAAAACTGCCATTCTTACAACAGGAAGGTGAGCTACTAAACAGGAACCTTCCATTTTTCAGGACTTTAAGAAATAGTGAGTCCATATGCCGTTTTGGTAATCTCTAACAATATCCAGCAGCATTCCCTGTCAATAATTTTTGGAGTTTTTTTTTCTGGATGTTTTTCAGAATAACTGTGACAGTTATAGTTCAATCATTAGCACTAAACTTTCACTCTATTAAGCCACTGAGATTTG